ATAATTATATACTAATTAATTTTTTAGTAGTAACTAAAGAATAAATTAATTAGTCCTAAAAATTTATCATTTAATTTTAATTATAAAAGAATAAATTATATAAATAAATTTATTTAATAATATGAATTTAACCTTTTTATCTTCTCATATTTTTTGTCTTTTACTTCTTATCTTTATATTCTTAATTATTTTATCATTATTAGTTTCATCTTCTAAATTATTATTATAAATATATTAATATATTTATAATAATATTAATAGTTACAATAATAGTAATATAATAATATTTGTAATAATGTTTGTGTATTGGTTGTTAATAATTGTTTGTTTATTGGTAAAGCTTTTGTTAATTATTTGATAATATGTTAATTATTTGATAGTAATTGATTGTTTGTAGTATTTTGTTGGGCCCATCGATCAAGACGTTTTTATCAAAAGAACCAAGCATTGCACAGGTGTGGTTTATTTATTTATTTATCTTGAATTGTGTTTATTTTTTTTTATTTGGTAGACTATATTTATGAAGTATCAATGATATAACAAAGAGGAAGTGAATATTCATAAGAAGGTATTTGAATATCTTGTCATGCTTTATTCCTATTATTCAATAATAACTTGTGGTAAGGCATTAAGAGCTTCTTATTATTCAATAGTTACTCGTGGGAGATCATTAAAAGCTTCATGGTAAACAATGTTTTTTGTGTAGCCATCATGGTCTTGTTCATCATGACCAATGAGAATCTTTAGACTAGTTGGAGATGTCACTTTAGATGCAGCTACATATAACTGGCCATGGCTGAAAACAGGATTTAGTAGATATATGCTGACATGCTTTAGGGACTGCCCTTGACTATTAATTGTCATTACGTAGCATAGCCTTAAAGGAAATTGTCTTCTCTTTAGTATGAATGGCCACTTTGATTGCTATGAAGTCATTGTAATTCTTGGTATTAAAACCTTATTTCCAATCTTGTTTCTTGGTATGATCTTGCCTTTGATGACCTATTCTTCCAACTTTGTGATTTTTATTCTTGTGCCATTACACAGTCCTAAACTTGGTTGACATTTCTAAGTAACATAGCTGGCATTCCTTTCTTCAATTTTAGGTAATGATTTGGCATTCTTGGAAATGTTAATGTGTTTAGGAATTCTGTGGATACATCATGTACTGATCAGCTGTATTTGAGAAGGCCTTACAAATCTCATCTGAACTCTTGTGGGTTTTGGTTTCTACTTCAAACAAAGAGAATATGTAATGATTGATTGTGTCAGTAGTCTCATTCAATGGAGTTAGAATGGCTCTCTCAATTAGGTAGTTTTGGTCATCATGCATGTTGTCAAAATCTAGATAGGTGTTGGAGATGATTTGCTGTATTAGATTTTCTACCCTAGGTAGTAAAAATTCATGTGGTATTTTTATCCAAGTTGCATGCTCTTCACCTTCTTTTGCAATTGCTTGTATCTTCCCATCTCCAATGTCCAACAACCATTTGTTAAATTGTTTATTGGCTACATTTGGCAATCCTTCTGCATTTGTTTCAAATACTCGCATGTTTTTTTTTTTTGGTTTAAGTACCATTTTGGTCCCTCAACTTTTCACTTTGGTACCAAAAGTGTCCCTCAGCTTTAAAAAGCACCAAAATTATCCTCAAACTTTCATTTTCGGTACCAAAATGATCCTTCCGTCAGTTAAATGACAGGTGGCCCGTTAAAATGCCACAAAATCATTAGACTTTTTGAATCTTAATGACGTGTAAATTCATTTTGCTTCCATGGCATTTTTTGTACACGTGGCATTTTTGTACACGTGGCATTTTTTACCCATCTTATTATCACCTTTTTAACTTTTCCTTTTAATGGGGCCCACGTGACACTTTTTTAACTTTTCTTATTCTTTCTCTATCTCCTCTCTTCCCCTCTTCTTCTTCCTCTCACAGATCTGGGTTTGATCAAACCCAGATCTGGGTTCTCCGGCTTCTTATCGTCTTCTCCAGCATGTTGCATGTTGTTTTTGTGCTCGGAAGCCTTGGGCTTCCGAGTTTTGCTGCTTGAGCCGCCGGGTTCTCCGGCTGCTCAAGCCTGATGGAGCCGGCCTGCTCCCTGCTCCGATGACCCAATGAGGTTGTTTTCTGTTTGTTTTCTTTGTTTCTTGTTTCTGTGTGTTGCCCGCTTGCCTGCAGGTTTCACGGCTCCTTGCTCCCTCACGCAAATCTACCGAGCTACACGCTGGAATTCCCAGATCTGGCGACCGTCGCCCAGATCTGGTCTTCGCCTGCACGGTTTCTCGCCTCGGCGTCCTGGAGTCTGGATTCAACCTCTAGATGGGTAGATAGAAGAGTGTCTCGCTGGATCGCTCAACCGAAGGCAACCTTGGTCCTTCGTGGTTTCAGATTATTTTCTATTTTCTCTTCTTTGCTGCTGCATTGTCGTCTTCTCCGTCGTCTTCGTCGTCTTCGTCGTCGTCGTCTTCGTCTTCGTCGTCGTCGTCTTCGTCGTCGTCGTCTTCGTCGTCGTCGTCTTCGCCGTCGTCGTCTTCGCCGTCGTTGACCTCAACAATTCTTCCGCAACAGAAGCAGGAGTCACCTTTGTGTACTCCAAGAAGTTCTGGATTTCTTCAAACGAAACCCAGATCTGGAGAGGAAGAAGAAGAGGGGAAGAGAGGAGAGAAAAAGAATAAGAAAAATTAAAAAAAGTCATGTGGGTCCCATTAAAAGGAAAAGTTTAAAAGGTGATAATATGATGTGTAAAAAAATATGCCACGTGTACAAAAAAAATGCCATGGAAGCAAAATTTTCATAACTGGATTTACACGTCATTAAGATTCAAAAAGTCTAATGATTTTGTGGCATTTTAACGGGCCACCTGTCATTTAACTGACGGAAGGACCATTTTGGTACCGAAAATGAAAGTTTGAGGATAATTTTGGTGCTTTTTAAAGCTGAGGGACAATTTTGGTACCAAAGTGAAAAGTTGAGGGATCAAAATGGTACTTAAACCTTTTTTTTTCAAAACTTCACAACTTTTCCAAAGGTAAGACCTATTTATGCATGCTTCAACAATTTCTTGTCTCTTACCTTTTGGTATAACTGGTAGTATTTGCCTAAAGTCTCCTCCCAAAACCACAATTTTGCTCCAAATGCTTTGTTTCTTGTAGCCTTATCTTTAAATCCTATTATATCTCTGAACGTTTTGTCAACTGCTTCAAAGGCATACTTTTGCATCATTGGAGCTTCATCCCATATTATCAAAGATGTTTGCAATAATAATTAAGATAAATTTGTATTTTGTCTTATGCCACATGTACTATTTTGAAATAGCTTAAGTGGGATGTCAAATTTGTTGTGTGTTGTTCTGCCTCCAAGTAATAACAATGATGTGATACCTAAATGACATTTTGAGATATGTATAAGTTAAACTAATACTAAAATAAAATTGAAGAAAATAATTTAATATTTTGTCCAAACTTGACAAAGCCACAGCCAAATCTATTTTTCTCTCAAATCTTAGTCTAGATAGTATTATTTTGTACAAAAATGTCTTTCATGTGCCTCCATGTCCATAAACAAAGAAGATGCCTCCTTCCTTTTGCTCCATTGCATCAAGTATTCTGTGATACATCTCTCTCTGTTGGTTATTCAATGAGATGTAAAAGTGGTCATGATCTGCTTTCATCTTTCTAAAGTCATAATTGAACTCTTCTTTTATCAGCCTATTATTTGCTCCAAATAAAAGATTCACGTTTGGTAATGGCATGCCATTATATTTGGACAATGATTCACCACTACGATGTAGCATTCTTTCAATCTCCAATAGACAATAGTTCTTGATTTAGTCTTCTGTGAATTTCAAATTTGAGAAATTGAATTGATGTACCAATTTGAATGGTGTGTCATCTGAAAATGTTTTCCAATTGACTTCCCAAAATTAGATTAGCTCATTTACTTCACAAAAGAGTAGAATTGTGATGAACAATTCTCTTAGTTGAGGTCCAATAGCTTAGTGCCTCGCTTCATCAATTGCATCATTCCATTCTTTGTCATCACTAATTAATCCAAAAGCATAGCATGCCTGCTTGAATGTTGTGTGTTGTGTGCCATTCATATTTTTGAGTTCCTCGTAGTTATGAGATCCTCGAACAACATTTAATAAAATACGCAAGCCACACCTTTCTCTTGATGTAGAGTGTGCATATGTAATTCTTCCAATTGTTCAACCTCTCTTTCTTATAGTCCATTCTTTTCCATTCCAAACAAAATTTGTTGGAAATTATGCAAATATCAATGATCTAGCCTCTTTATTTTCTGTATTCATTTCCATCCATTTGGCGAACATAGTGTTTTTGACGTCTTCTTGTTTGATGGCCTCAGTTAGACTTTGAGAATCTCTTAATATCATCTTTTGCTCATCCTTTAGGTGGAAAAACAATCGTATTACTTAAGGATTCCTGTAATGTATGTCAAAGTGGAAGATTCTCTAACAAGCTTCACATCCTGAGAGGTGCCGACAATCCAAGTATTGCTTGATTTCATCAATTGGAGCTGTTTTGACAATTTCATTTTCTGTAATTTTGTCCTTGTTGATGAAGACATTATCTTTCATCACAATCTTACCTCTATCTGGGCCCTTAGTTATATACTTGAACAGGTATTTTATAGCCTTTGATTTATTACAAATTTCGACATTTATATGTGCTTGGTATCTAAGTAACAAATATTTGTTGTAAGGAACTACATACCTATTTTCACATAAAATGAAATCATTGTTAGTCATATACTTGAATAGTATATTTATAATGCTTAAGATATTTGAAACTTTGAATTTTCTTTTTCTTTCTCTATTTCACACAAAGAAGATTGTCTCTGAAAAGATTTTTCAATAGCTTGCATTTTGGTGTTATTAACATCTTAAATTGCAAAATCATGAGATTTCTCAAGTTCTAAGATACCATGTTTTGCAACGGACTGTTTTGCTTCTTCCATACTTGCAAAAAGATAGCCATTGTAATTAATTTCATAACAATATAATCCTCTTCTTGGATTAATATTTGAACTCTTGAGGCATAATTCCCATCATCACTTAGATTTGTTTGATATTGTGGCTAGCCTAGGTTCAGTCGAATAGATATCCTCTCCAATAATTTCTCAAAATTAATTCTTTCCACAAACTTGGGGTTTTCCATGCTACAAAGTAGTTGTCAAAAGAAAATGTTGGATTGTAACGTATAACTAATGTAATTGAAAAAAAATGAAATAAACATCAAATACCTAGTATCAAATGTAATATGCATTTTTGAAATTGTTGGTTGACTCAGATTCCTTCATCAAAAGTTTGCATGGAGAACGGGGAAGGGGTGAGCTTAAATAGAAATCATGTAAATATATCTCTTAAATTAAATTAAATTATTAAACTATTACTATAAGATGGGTTAAGAATAGTGGCTCTTTATCTTTAATCATTATCATTACTATGGTATTAAATTGTATTTGTGGTTATAATTTAAAACAGTCTATTCAAATTCATTGGCAGAAAAACGTATCTTTTTAAATAAAGAATGAAAATAACATTATAACTCATAATGATATTATAATTGTAATCATTATGATATTATAATTGCATTTGTAGTTATATTTTTTAAATAATTTTTCAATAAATTCTAATTAAAACTTTCTAATTATCTTTAACCTTCTCATATTCTTGTCTTTCACATCTTATATTTGTATTCTCAATCATTTTATAATTATTAGATATAATGTAATAAACTAAGGTAAGATGAATAGGTGCCTAAACTTTATAAAAAGTAAAACTATAAGATTATAATATAGAGCATAATAACTATTTCTACAATTACAATCTTTTTTAGCCTTTTTGTTTTTTTTTTCCTTTATAATAATAATATATAAGATAATAATATAAATTTATTTATTATTTATTTTATAATTATTACCTACAATTTGTTCTATACTCTTCATTTTCTTTTCTCAAAAGTTATGTGGTTTTCAATCAAATTATAATTATTATAATTGTTACTAATAAAAAATTAATAATATGACAGTTATAAACGTCCAATAATGAAATTAAGAACTACTAATAAGTATTTGCCTTAGTAACTGAAAATAATTTAAATATATGGTATATTAATTGTTAATTATTAATATTAATATTGAAAAGATTGTTTCATTTTTAGGTAAATAAAAAGACAAGACCATTTCTTTTTTTTTCCCCAACACACTCCTATTCCCATGGTTCCCTACTTCTCTGGGTATTATTTTTGAGGAGCTACTTAATTAAATTAAATTTATTGTAAAATAAAGAAAAATTCAATTAGAAGAAGAAGAAAAATTAGAGGGACGAAAATGAGACAATACAAAGATATATTATAATTAAAACTTCCTAAATATTTTATATATTTTGTGTTTCCATACTTTATTGTAATTTCATAATAATGCTTAGGGTTTATCTAATTTTGATTTAATATAAAATAATAATAAAGAATATATATAGATTTAATAAATATTAAATAATTAGATAAACATGCATCTTATTGTCATTTCAATTTCAATTTCAAAATATGTACTACGAAAAATAAAGTATAGATATATAATCCAAAATAAATAAATAAAAAAAGCTTCAAAATTTTATTTGACTACTATTGATGTCTATGAAATTTAAAGAACCAATACAATATATTCACCTAAGTCTTATTTTGTGTCCTCATTATCCAATTGTATTAGGTCTTTTCTTGTCTTCTCATCATCACTTTCTTTTGAAAGCTTACATTCAAAACAAAAAATATATTCTATTATCTTTTGAAATTTTTTTTGATAAAGTTAAGAAAATATTTTTTTTAAGTAATGTAAAATTAAATCAAATAAAAATCATACAAAAGTCTTCTCTCTTTATCAAGTTCTTTCATACTTCCGTTCCTCATGCACATTTGTTAGATATTTACTTGATGAATTCGATGATTGACCAATTGCATTTGATGTTCCCGAATTAATTGTAATGTTATCATTTGAAGTAGTATTTTTATGTTTCTACAATAAAAAAAATAAGCATTAAGTCTTAGTTAATTAAAAACATAAACCATATTTTACTATTAAAAAAATATACTTTAACCTTTGAATCAGTAACCATTTTGTTAACAATAAAAGACTCAACTCCACCAGCTTTACTGAAACTGCTTGCCTTTACTTGAAATTCATGAATAGTATCTATCAAATTCAACAATGTCGGAAGGAGTTGATATTTTTCATCATCTTTCTACATATATCAAAAAATTAATTGCATGCATGATTTATCAAATTCAATATATTTATATACTTTATTAATTAATAAAATACTTACAACAATGTATTTATCAACTATTTTTGCAACACTAAGCTGTATTAATCCAAAAGCAACATTATCAAAAAGAACAAAAATTGTCTTTCCACTATTATCACCAATCACTAATTCCAAATAAACCTTGAGTTTCAAGTAGGAGAATATAATAAAATACTTACAACGATATGTTGATCAATTATTTTTGCAACACTAAGCTGTATTAGTCCAAAAGCAACATTATAAAAAAGAACAAAGATTGTCTCCCCACTATTATCACCAACCACTAATTCCAAACGATACCTTTAGTTTCAAGTAGAAAGAAAAATTAATTAATTTATTTATTAAAAAATAACATAAACTATTTTGAAATATAATATCATTTTTACATTTAGTACATTTAGTTCTATCGGTATACATGTCGACATGTGCTAGCGTTTGCAAACTCCCACTAGCAAGCGTTAGTAATCATGACTACATCAGAGACAAAACCATGCAGGATTTACAAAAAAAATCTGTAATTCACAATCAATCTCAAATTTCAGAAACAAACTGAAAATTTTCCATGTGAGCATGGATTTAACAGGAAAATCAGAATTTACAAAATTCTCAGTTTATCAAGGCAGTTCAGTTAATTCCAAGTAGGCATGCTCTACTCAATGCAAATGAAAACAACTTCATTTCAAACCAATCATGCTCGGTGCTATAAAATCAATTTAAACCTTGCCATCATATCAAAAACAATTTAAAATATGCTTTGAAATCGAAGGGCGTTACCATAATTTACTTACCTCAAATTTGTAATACGAGAAACTCAAGCCAAGTGCTCAGGTGACAGAACACTCAAGAACCTAATCAAAATACTCCAGAATTAATACCGTACTACCACAAATTCAAAGTAAAAACTTCATTAGGATCACCCCCTAATCAAAATGCTATTTATATTAACCTCCACATGACCGGACACCTCTAATTTCATTCTTATTTGAAACTAAACATTTAAACCTTCCTATCATTGGCCATTAGTGCGTGAACAGTAATCACGCAGTAAACAGTAACTACAATTTCCAGAAATTTGGCAAAACAATAGCTAATTCACGGGATTTTTCTCCAGAACATCACAGCAGCTAATCAAGATAATTTTTCTACATTAATTAAACTAAGAAAAATCATCTCATTGCTGTCGGAATTCTTCCCTCTTGCAGCAGAAAATCCAAACAGTACAAGGACAAATCAAGGCAGAAAATTCGAAGATTCAGGGCAACAATTAATTAACCATTTTCGGACTTAAATATGCCATCAACATACCATAATTCTTCCAACAGCCAAAACCGGAGCTGGCGGGTATGGAGGCCGACGGAGACTGGAGAAGAAATCATGAAAACTACCACAAAATTGCAAGAAACAAAAGGGATTAGAGTGACCCAAGCCAAATTAAAGCTAAAGAGATGAAATTGAAGCTGGTTCTTACCGAAAATCCCGAAGGATTCACACCCAACAGAACAGCGGACAAACAAAGGGGGAGAAACAGAGCAGGTCTGAAAATTTTCTACAGGGGGAAAGATTTCCAAGTCCTAATTTTGCTCTTTAACAAAAAAAGAAAGGGAAAATTTTAAGCTTTTGCTGATTTTTTCCAAGAAATGGAAGTCGGTGCTTGGGCTCCTTTTTTGAGAGCTGCAGGGGTGAGGAAGAAGAAGAAACCCGCGTGGCTGAGGAAGAAAGAAGGAAAAAAAATCATCTTGATACTTATCGTAATGTTTTTCTCTTTTAAGTCCCTCAAATTTGGATATTTTAGTTAATAGACCTTAAAATAATATTTTCTCACAAAAAAGTCCTTAACTTAAATGCTAGAATTTCAGAAAATTTGGGATATTACAGTTCTATGCAAGGTTTTTAAAACTGGATCGGACCGGTCGGTTGAATCGGTCAGGTCGATACTCGGTGATGAAAATGGTTCGGTCTACATAAAAAAACCATTTGATGTCAAAACCGATAAAGTCCGATCAAAACCGATGAAAACCAGTGGAACCAGTGGAACCGAAAAAACCACCGGTTCAATTTCTCATGTAATCTTCTTTCAATTTTTTCCAATTTCACCCTTCCCATTCCTTTCTTATACCCATTTTAACCTTTAATTTTAACAAAATTACAAAATTATCAACACCAAATTAGAAAATCCATGCCTACAGCTTGCTCCTCTCATCAAATCTTCCTTGCTATTTGGATCGATCGGTTCATCGATTCAATCGATTGAACCGATTAAACCAAAAATCGGACCTGAAAACAGTTCAATGACCGATCCGATTTTAAAAACCTTGGTTATGTGCTACGATTAGCTGTACATTGGGAGTTAACCCTGCTTCTCTAAAATAACATAGAAAAATTATATATGTCAATATCTTAAATAATTTTAAAATTTTAAAATCACATCATCTCCTACTCAATGCTCCTTTTGAAGTCAGCTATTTCAACACTATTGTCATTCATATAAATTTTTGTAGATTAAGAGCTTGACAATGAAACTTCTCTTAATACAAAAATAGGTTTTTAAAAAATTAAGATGCATAATTTTTGAGATTTTTTATTTTAATAAAAAAATTAAAAAAAAATTACAAATTTCATTATATATCAACCTCTATTGTCCTTGACGATTATAGATGTGAATATAATGACTTTCACATTTGAGTAATTAGAAAATCCAATTTGTTCAAATTGATTTACCATGAAAGACTAAAGTATTATGTTCAAATGGTTTTTCCTTCAATAAAATTAAAATAATATCAAACAACTATCTATAATTAATTGATCTAGTATTATATTTTATTCAATTAAAGAAAAATGAAATTCAAATAAATTTTATGTAATTATTTAAATATGAATTACCTTTTATCTTCAATATATAATTCCATGCAAGTAACATTACTACCATTTGCTTGCCTTTCTTGTGGAGTTCCAATATCAACCAAAACTTTTTCATAAAACTATTTTAAATTAAAAAAAATCAAATATTCATTTAATAAAATTATATTAAAATTAAAAAAATACCACAAATGCATTTTTTTCTTTTTCTTGAGAAGCTTCTCATAATCAGTAAGTTCAGATACAAATCACGGAATCTTTGCGACTTCTTTGATTACTTCTTTGACAATAGTATCAAGCTGAAATTGAATTTTGTAATTGTTATAAGAAACAACATGATAGGTGTCCTTATTCTTTTCCATGGAAAAATTTTTCACGTAATAAACATTCCCTTCAATCAACTTATTCTTAACTTGCAAAGTAGTAGAACTCCAAATGATAGCATGAATAAAATTTTTCTATAAATAAATAATTATTGTTAATAGAAATCGTTAAATATATAAAAGACTAAATGTAATAACTTATAAAATTACCTTTTCATCAACCAAAACCATTTTAGTAGTAAGATGGTCCTTGTCACGTTTTAAATTAAAAACATCCCACAACCTACATATTTGCACTTTAATCTTCTAATCTTCTTTATCAGGTAAAAGTTGATTAAAAAATACATATTCCATATCTCTTGCAATTGATTTACCTCTACATAACAAAATATTTTAAAATTAGACAAAAAAATGTAACATAATTAGAGAAAAATGAACTTGATGCTTAAAATAAAAAACCTATTCATATTGAGAAAATGTAATCCAAGCAACTATATCCTGTAATCAAAATTTGGGTTTAGGAAAATCTCTAAAACAAACAACAATGAAAAAACTTTCTCATAAACATATAGACTTTAAATAGTAGACACTTGACCCTTCAAGTTCTAACTTCTATTAGTTTTTTCAACATATTAATTAGTAATATTTAAGACCATTCATCTTTTGGTAGATGAAGAAGAAAAAAAACTAATGAAAGTTAGAACTTTAAGAGTCAAGTAACTTACATATTAATTAGTAATATTTGAATTGCTAAAATGATTAGTTGTTTTCATGGATTTAATTTCATGCTCTTCGCTATAAATGCCAATGGGAATGGGGTGGAGCTAGTGTGGTGGGGTAAATATAAAATGTTTACCCTATTTAATGCATAGGGTAGTATTGTATATGCTTAAAATAAAATACCTTTTTATATTGAGAAAATGTAATCCAAGCAACTATATCCTATAATCAAAATTTGGAATTAGAAAATTCTCTAAAACAAAACAACAATGGAAAAACTTTCTCGTAAACATAGAGACTTTAAATAGTAGACATTTGACCTTTAAAGTTCTAACTTCTATTAGTTTTTCCTTCTTCATGTAAAGAAAGCAATAAATTTATTAATAAAAAATAATAATATGGCAATTAGAAATGTCCAATCATGAGTGGTATATTATAAAATTTATTTGCCTTAGTAATTGAAAATAATTTAAATGAATGGTATATTAATTGTTCATTATTAATATTAATATTGAAAAGATTGGTTTATTCTTAGGTAGATGAAGAGGCAAGATCATTTTTTTTTCCAACATATTAATTAGTAATATTTAAGACCATTCATCTTTTGGTAGATGAAAAAGGAAAAAAATAATAGAAGTTAGAACTTTAAGGGTCAAGTAACTTACATATTAATTAGTAATATTTAAATTACTAAAATGATTAATTGTTTTCATGGATTTAATTTCATGCTCTTGGCTATAAATGCCAATGGGAATGGGGTGGGGCTAGTGTGGTGGGGTAAATATAAAATGCTTACCCTATTTAATGCATAGGGTAGCATTTTATATATATATATATATAGATAAGTATTTGTGTGGTTATAATTTTTTTTAACATTTTGCTTTTCTTATTCTTATGTACAATGCCCTTCCATCTTCCCAATCACCTATATATAAACATTCACTTTTTCTTACACGAATATATTATATTCTCCTCTTCATCTCTTTAATTTTATTTTATTAATATGGTAAGTTCTAATTTTTTTTCTTTTTTGTTTCCTATTTCTTATTGTATCTAAATATAATATTATGTTTTTATTTTATATATTTTTTTATCTTAATCCAAAATATGTATATTGCTGTATAAACTATTTTCCTTATTTGTCTTATTATTTTTTTATGAATTCTTTTATAGAAGATATGACAATCGTTTTTTTTTTTTGAAAGAATTTTGTAATTTTATCTATTTGAAATTTATGTATTATTTTCTTTTTAGATTATTAATGGTTCATTTTTTTTTT